CAAAGGCTTCCAAATCTGAAGCTACTTCTCGAGTCCTCAATTCAACCAACATCCACGCCTGAGAAACCCTGACCAGCCAGCCACTGTGGCTTCCTGTGCATAGATTGGACTTATTATACAGGGGTGGCTCTAGTTTTTCTTTAAATGCGCTTAAAACCCTGGACAGGTTCTGTTACCTTGGGCCTAATTTAAAAACATGAACAAGAGTGATACTGAAAGTCTGTTATGGGTTTAGTGAGTCCATAGAGAGTTGCTTTTATTTTTTGACTCAAGAAATATTTTAAAACTTAGTTTATAGCTGTAAGTACAAATATTGGCATCTGGGACCTAATTTCTTTCTCTACTCCAGGATTCTACTTTTCAAAGCACGATCACCATTGTATAGAAAATGATTGACTAGGCCCAACCTTGGGGGATGAGAAATGAAGTAATTTTGGCATGTATACTTGTAATTAGCAATTAACATTGTTTTTTGTCTAGGGGTGTTCAGTTAATGATGTAGCTATGATAGCTTTGCTCTCACCAGAAGGCCTGTCCCCACCAATCAGGACAGCCTCCCTCCCAATGAGGATGTCTGTGTGTCAGCATTTGAGGTGGCCTGATACAGTGCCAAAGATGACAGAGAGGCTGGGAGCACCTTTGTTAAATTGTACAGTGTGTGATATATACAGTGCAATCCGTTTGTGGGTGTGTGTGAGTGACACACATGCTTTTCTGGACTGTTTCTTCAGAATTCTCTCTGGGTCCACTGTGCCCCATTGTGCCCAAGTTCTTCTATCCCTGCAGCTGCCAGCCCAGTTGGGAGGCCGTCTGGGTAGGTTGGGTCATTTCTGTTGTGGAGATGAGCAGCTTTGCACATGTCACCACTGGGGACGTTTTCCTGCTATAGCTTCCACAGATGAGGCTCCTTCTTTACCTACCCTCAACATCACTACTGCACTTCCCGGAGCACTATTATTTATTCTTACTGTCTGCCTGCGCCAGTACTACTGTTGACACATTAAATGGTTCTCAAAAGCTTACCAGTGTGGACTTGGTCTATAGGTGTAAGCCATGCTGTTAGTCATGTCCTGTTTTAAAATATAAATATATTCTTAAAAATAAATTAAAATGTGTGTAGTTACCTTTCAAAAAGATACCATGGCGTTTTTTTTTTTCTTGGTTTATTTTTCCCCACAACCAATTTTTGGTTGATTTGGCCTATGGAAAACAGAAAAGACCAAAAGGATATATGGAAATTTTTCTAGTTAGAACTTTTGTTATTTTGTGTCCTTTTTTGGGGGGCAGGGGGGTTGGGAATGGAGGAAGTACTAGGGGTTGAACCCAGGGATGCTTTTCCACTCAGCTACATCCTCAGTCCTTCTTTGTTTTGTTTTGTTTTTTTAATTTTGACAGGGTCTTGCTGAGTTGCCCAGGCTAGCCTAGAACTTGAGATCCTCCTGCCTCACAGCCTCATGAACCATTGTACCTGGTTTCTTTTTTGCATTTCTAAATTAAGAAACTCCCATTCTTTATTTCTCTCAAAGATCTTTTTCCATAACTCCAACAACTGAAGGATTAGGAATCTTTCTAATTCATTGTCATTTGTTATATTTTTAAAGATGGACACAACATCTTTATGTATTTTTATGTGGTACTGAGGATAGAACCCAGTGCCTCATATGTGTGAGGCAAGTGCTCTGCTATAACCCCAGCCCCTATCACTTGTCATATTAACAGGAATTGCTTTTATAAAAGTGAGCTTTATAAGCTGGGCATTGTGGTGCACACACCTGTAGCACCAGCTACTTGGAAGGCTGAGGTAAGAGCACTGCAAAGTTTGAGGCCAACTTCAGCAACTTGGCAAGACACTATCTCAAAAAAAAAAAAAAAAAAAAAAGCTGAGGCTGTAGGGTAACAGAACACCCCTGCGTTTAATTCCCAGTAACAAACAAACAAAAAAAACAGTAATAAGCTTTGAGGTATAACTGACATAAACTGCACTAGCAAAACTGTATACTTTGATAAATTGATAAAGTGCACATCTGTGAAATCTTCACCCTGACAGCAACTGCTGATTTGCTTTCTGATGCCATAGATTGCGTTTTCCAAAGTTTTTTATATAAGAATTTTTTTTCTTTTTTTGTAAATGGACACATTACCATTATCTTATTTATTCATTTTTTTCTGGTGCTGAGAGTTGAACCCAATGGCTCACACATGCTAGGCAAGCACTCTCCACTGAGTCACAACCCCAGCCCATATAAGGAGAATCTATAAAATATATTCCTGTTTGATCTCATTCTTCCAGTACTACTTTCATTATTTTGAGATTCATCCATGTTGTTGCTTGTATCCACAATTCATTCCCTTCTGCCGAGCAGTAGAATTATATACCATATAATAGGGATATATGATATATATCAGTTTATTCATGTTTGTTTTGTGTGTGTGTGTGTATTTACCTTTGGGATGTGCCCCAGTTTTTGACTGTTAAAATGGAACACTTGTTCAACACTTAGCCAGTTATTTATAACTCTGCCTTAATCTTTTTTTTTTTTTTTAGAATTTTTATTTTTATTTTTATTTTTATTTTTTAACGTTTTTCAGCGGACACAACATCTTTGTACGTGGTGCTGAGGATTGAACCCGGGCCGCACGCATGCCAGGCGAGCGCGCTACCGCTTGAGCCATATCCCCAGCCCTGCCTTAATCTTTAATTCTTGCTTGCACAGAACTTGCAGCTATCCAGAGGAATTTATTATTTTTACAGGCTTTTCGCTGAGTAATGTATCTAGTCTTGGCCTGTGTTCTAGCCTTCTCAATCCCTAGCATATGAGAGCTTTTAGAAACCTTTCCTCTGGGGGCTGGGGATGTGGCTCAAGCAGTAGCGCGCTCGCCTGGCATGCGTGCGGCCCGAGTTCGATTCTCAGCACCACATATAAACAAAGATGTGTCCGCCAAAAACTAAAAAACAGAAAAAAAAAAAGAAACCCTTCCTCTGTGTATCTCCTTTCCTGACCTCTTCATCTCCAGAAGTTATGTTTATTGCTTATGCCAACTATTTGTCCCTTGTCCCAGATTGCTGCAGCCAGTACTTGTACTTTTAAAAAGAGTTTCAGGGGGCTGGGGATGTGGCTCAAGCGGTAGCGCGCTCGCTTGGCATGCGTGCGGCCCGGGTTCGATCCTCAGCACCACATACAAAAAACAAAGATGTTGTGTCCGCCGAGAACTAAAAAATAAATATTAAAAAATTCTCTCTCTCTCCCTCTCTCTCTCTCTCTCTTTAAAAAAAAAAAAAAAAAAAAGAGTTTCAGAATGAGATCCTGAATAAGTTATACTCTGTGTATGTACAATATGTACATATTGAAATATACTGTCATGTAAATCCAAAAAGAACAAATAAAAAAAAGAGCTGAGCTTGTAGAGCGCTCACCTAGCATGTGCAAGGCCCAGGTTCAATCCTAAGCACCAAATAAAACGAAAGAAAGGTAGGTATTTGTCCATCTACAACTAAAAAAATATTAAAAGAAAGAAAAAATATAAATAAAACCATCCAGTTCTTGAGAGCCTACCGGATAAGTCAAAACCCACAACCACAATTCTTTGAAAAAGACCATACAATTTATTAGTTGGTTTTGTGGGAGATGAACCCAGAGTTTTCTTACTTTGCCACTTTCAGTGATGTTCCACTTCTAAATGTGTCTATATTTTAAAAGCAGCTTCAAGACAGACAAAGCTAAAACTGGTAGAACTGAAAAGAAAAATGGACAAATCCACAGTCAAGGACTTAACAACCCTCTCCCAGCAATACAGAATAGCTAGGTAAAAATCAGCAAGACTAGACGAACTAAACACTACCCTAGCACCAATCAGCCAGACCTAAGTGTGGAGAACTCCAACCAAAATCTGTTACTAGTAAAAGCCACATTCATCAAAATAGTCAAATAAATCATAACAAATTTGTCTTAAAAACTGTAATGATTGAGGCCTGGGCTTGTGGCTCAGCGGTAGAGCGCTCGCCTCGCATACATGAGACCCTGGGTTCGATCCTCAGCACCACATAAAAATAAATAAGTGAAATAAGGTATTATGTCTAACTAAAAAAAAAAATATATATATATATATATATATATATATATATGCCTTGTAATGATTGAAATAAAATGTTCCTGACCATAATGGAATCAAACTATAATAGAAAATTTCTTAGGAAGTACACATACTTAGAAATTAAGGCAAATTCTCAAGGGAAATCAGAACATTTTGAATCAAACGAAAATACAACATATTGATGAATTACAGGGAAATGAGTGAAAAAAATGACCTATAGTGGTTCCTAGTCTTGGCTGTACATTAAAATCATCTGGGTGAGAGTGGTGGCACACATCTATAACCCCTGTGACTCAGGAGGCTGAGAAAGGAGGATCACAAGTTCCAGGCCAGCCTAGGACAAATATTAACATCTGGGACCTAATTTCTTTTTCTACCCCATGATTCTACTTATTGAAGCACAATCACCATTGTATAGAAAATGACTGACTAGGCCCAGGCTTGGGGTGAAAACGTAGCAAGACCCCTGTCTCAAAAAAGGGTAGCAGTGTACCTCAGTGGTAGAGTATTTGCCTAGAGTGTGCAAGATCCTAAATTCAGTCCTCGGGACAAAAAAAAAAAAATGGGATTTAGTGGGAAAACTTCAAAACCCATCTATGTCTAGGCCTCACAGAGTTTCTGATTCATCATCTGGGACACTGACCTGTGTCATCAAAGTTTCCAGTGCTCTCCAAGTGTTTCTATAGTGCAGCAAAGTTAAGGCCCCTGCTCTAAAGTGAAGGGGAGTGCTGTGATGGAAAGGGACAAATGCAGGGACATTGGATGCTGGCAATGGTTTTCCCTAACCTGAAAAGGAGTTCTTTTTTTCTCTCCTCACCTCCCAAAAGGGAGTTTCACAATTGTTAACTTTATAATTTTCTAACATATATTTTGTTCACTTTTCTATATTTTATAACTTAAATACATACATACACACATGTCAGGTCTTCTCTTTTTCCACAGCATACACATAGGTGTTCCATGGCCCACAGGTGACTGTCTTCACTTGGAGCTGTTTCTCTACAAAGTATTCCACAAGGCAGGGCTGATCCACGCTGGTGCTATCCTTGTGGCCAAGCTGTCCATATTTACCTGAAGTGAGATGAGTCTCTTTGCCATCCTCTCCAATAGACCTTGCTACTTTTCCATGCAGCCCAAGGACGGCAGCCAGGAGGGGATAAGGTTTACACCCACCCCCTGCTGGTGCTTGCTCTGTGAATCCAGGAGACTGGAGCCAGAAAGCCTCTAGGGCCAGGCTCAGGGTCCCAAAAGTCCAGTGGCAACCAGTCATTACAGGCAAGAGGTTCCTCCGAGCTTCCTTGCTACCTACACCAAAATGTTTAGCATAGATTTCCGTTTTATCATTTTCTACCTAGTGCCAGAACACACAAACATGTTTTATAAATGCTGTTAAACACTCCCTTGCATGCACACTTATAATCCCAGCTACCAGGGAGGCTGATGGAGTAGGATCTCAAGTTCAAGGCCAGCCTTGGCAACATAGCAGAAAGCAAGATGTCATAGCTCCCCAGCCTGTCAGTCCTGATGTCATCTCCTATTTCTCTGTTGGTTGTAGACATTCTCTGGAGTGTGCCTAGATCTGTTTAGACCCCAGGAAGGGAGCACACAGCTTTTCAGTTCTGCACCTCCAGTAATCAGGTTGAGAACCCTGCTTCTTCAAGATGATGTAGCTTTGTCACCCATCTTTATTTCCAGGCTTTTCCTGCCCTTGGCTTAAGGGTCACGAAAACAATTCTTATACTTACCCCAGCCCCAGGTGTACAGCTCTCCTGTTCCTAAAACCAGAAGGACAATAAATAGCTGTCAGTATTATTCTATTCTCTGGCAAGACATTGGTCTAGCCTGGCCTGGCACAACCCATAGCCAGCATGTCACAATCCTCACAAGATATGTGTGGTGTGGAACAACATATTCTCTCTTTACAACTGTCTAATCAAATTTGATGTGGTAAAGGATCCAGTGGAAAAAGTTTATCTTCCCATATGTGAACTGAGTGGCCTGCATCTCACAGCTACTGAGATCAGGATACTGGATGAGGCAGTATCTGAGTGTGGAAGAGGCATAATCTTCTGGGCCTGACAGGCTGGGGAGCTATTATTAAAGCTATTTGCGGATAGAAGCTTGATTAAATGAGTAAGTATGTAAAGATGCCTTATACTTGGTGGCAGAGCACTTGCCTCGCACACATGAGGCACTGGGTTTGATCCTCAGCTCCACGTAAAACAATAAATAAAACGATATCGTGTCTATGTATAACTAAAAAAAAAAAAAAAAAAAGATAATACTCTTTGCTGAGGATGCACCTTCAGTGGTAGAGTGCTCTTAGCATGTGCAAGGGCCTGGGTTCCGTCCCCCGCACCTCTCCTCACCACCTCCTTCCCCAGTGTTGACCACTCCCTTTTCTGTAGCTCCAGCTAGAACACAGGTAGAATGCCTTTTCAGTCCATCCTGGAAAAGCCTGCCCAGCCCCACTCACTTGTCACTACAGCAGTGTGCCGGGATCCACAGCTGGCTTTGACTACATCTGAGCCCAGGGGAAGATCCAATAGAGCTGGGAAGGGCTGTACAGATATGAAGGGAGCAGGGGCTCCATCCTCAGCCCCAGATAGTCTATTCACTTCAGAACCATCTTCATTCAGACCTGTGGTTTTGGAATGTTTATACTGATGATTATTAACACTGAGTATTAAGCTTATTCACACATTATCTCATTGCTACAACAGATCTACAGAGCACATTATTCTCTGGCTTTAAAGCTGATGCTCCCACCATACTCACAGGAAGTGTTAGAGTTGACAGGCTTGCAGGCTGCGCAGTGCTGAGACTGGCATTAGCCTTGCCAATGCTCCCAGTAAGGGACTCAAAATCCTGTGTTGTAGTCTGGGGTGACAAGGATATCAGGCTTTTGAGCACTGTAGCTCTTCAGCCAGCATACATCCAGGAGTAAGAAATGATAGCAACATTGTGAGGAGATGACTCTGAAAGTCATGTTGACCCTCACCTTCCTCTGTAAAAATCTTCTTATCCTCTGCCAGGTTCCTTGCAGGCAGGGCCAGTTGCCCCGATTCATTCCAGCCCCAGATATAAATATCCCCTGTTTCTGAAAGAGATCAAGGGGACCCATTAAATAACCATGAACCCCTGTTCACCAATCCAAACTTTCCTAACCCTCCCATCAGCTTCTGGGCACTACTAAAGCCTGCTCTGCCCAAGTGGCACTCCAGGCAAAGGTGACCTCAGACTCTAGTGGCTTACTTGTCTTAGGTTCCCTGATCCTTAATTCTTTCTGGTTACCTTTCCCTTAAATTAAATCCCTGCTGGACTTTCTCTATTTTCATTTTTTCTTTATGTTGCTAAATCAATCCCCCCACACACCCAAACACACCATGGTAACCCCAGAATTTCTGCAGTATTATTTCCCTTTCAAACCCAATGAGGCAGCCTGTGCCCCTTTTCAACCCCACCTGCCACTAGTCCTGTTGCCTCTTGAAGCTCTCACCTCTCCTGTACCACTGCTGCTCTAATACCATCATGTTGAAGCAATGGCCCTAATGCTAAAAATTTGCTAACAATGATAACCTTATAAAGGTTATTATTTTGTGATGGTTTTTATGCACTTTTTAAAATATAATCCTTGAATCCTCACAGTAACCCACAAGAAATTATATGACAATACCCCTATTTTACAAATATTACCACTTTGATCAGGAGACAACTAAGGCACAGAGACATTAAGTACCAGGCCCAAGATCACAGGGGCAGAATGATGATTTGAAGGCATAGTTTGATGCCTCCATGCTTCAACCTGTACTCCAAACCTAAGCATGCCAATTCATCCTGGTCCTTAAGTGTGAGGTCTACCATTGGGCTGTTTCCAGTCCTCTGTTCTATGCCCTCTAGCCCAAAGGTTCTTCAGCTTGGCTGCCAAACCAGGCCCATTACATTAGAATATGGGGAAAGTAACTGAAAAAGCTCTAGTGATGTAAGTAGCAGATTAAGAGCCCTAGCTACAGAGATCACCTACTGCCAGTCACATGCTCTGTGTGGGCTCCAAGAGGCTAGGAAATAGCTGTCCCTGGATCACCCATATGGTTTTGTTTTTTTTGTTTTTTTTTGTTTTTTTTAAATATTTATTTTTTAGTTGTAGTTAGACACAATACCTTTATTTTATTTATTTATTTTTATGTGGTGCTGAGGATCGAACCCAGGGCCTTGCACTTGCTGGGAGAGTGCTCTACCGCTGAGCCACAACCCCAGCCCCACCCATATGGTTTTGAACTCAACACATCCAAAGGGAAACTCCTGGGGCTGGGGATATAGCTCAGCTGGTAGAGTGCATGCCTCCAATGCACAAGGCCCTGGGTTCAATCCCCAGCACCACAAAGAAAAAACAGAACCTCCTTATCTGACTCTAGGTCACCACCACCAGAGTCACACCCACCAACCTCATCCTCCCTCTAGGGATCTCAGGGTCCAGTGTGCCAAACATCACAGCCACCTGGGCAACTTCCAGTCTTTTCTCTGTTCTCCTTGACTGGGCTGCCCCTCATCCTTTCATGTTTTCCTGGATGGGTATTTCAGAAAGTTGACCCTGGCTGCGGGCAGGTGGATGGGAGAGGTACTGAGAACAGTAATAGAAGTAGAGAAACATCTGAATCGGCCCAGGTGTGAGAGGGCAGTGGTGGAGGCAGAGGGACTGAATTTGAGAAGCACTGGGGAGTCATACAAATGAGTGGGTGTTGACTAAAGTGTGATGAGTTTAAAAAGAGGCCTGAAGAGGCTTCCCACCAAAACTGGAAGAGGAGGGAGGTGTAAAAAGATCATGAGTGTAAAAAGATCATGAGCTAGTCTAGAATAGTACTGGGTCACTCACCACTCACACACACAGAATGCCAGCCGCCAGCCGCCACCTCGGCCATGGGTAAGCCCTGCAACGCCTCCAAAAGCCTTGGTTCCAACTCTGCCTCCAGCGTCCCATGGCCCAGCTGTCCGTGCCTGAGCAGGTGAAACCCTAGTCAGCTCTGGGCACATTAAGGGGCCCCTCCTCCGGCTTCTCCTAATCGCATTCAGCTGGCCCTCACCTGCCCCCGCCCCAGGAGAACACCTGACCAGCAGCGCACAGCAACAACACGTGTTCCGCGCCCAGCTCTAGCTGGCGTGCCCGCAGCTCCGGGACCAGAGTCCGGCTGAAGGGTGGCTGCGGACTCACGTAGGCGCAGGCGCCAGGCAGCAGGGGCAGCGAGCCAGCTCCAGACTCATCTCGTGCTTGGTGTTCCACCTCAGCCTCAGGCGCCAGCTTCTGGGTCCAAAGGGGCGCCCCACGCAGCGCCGAGCCCGGCGTCCACGCCTGCAGTTCAGTCCCAGACTCCGTCCCGGTGCGAATCACCACGAGGAGTCCTTCCGAGGCCCAAGCATCCCTGCAGTCGTCTGCCGCTCCATTAGTGGAGCCAGACAGCTCCAAGCGACCTGCACCTGCGTGGGCAGACCGGGGTGGGACACATACCAGAGTAGGGTCTAGGCAGGGGCAGGGTGCCAAAATGGATGGCTAGGGAGGGAACGGGACCAAAATGGGAGTGCTATCCTGGAGTGGCTATATGGTAGGGTGTAGTTTGCCAGGGGCGGGGCTGGAATCGGGATCAGGTGAGGGTCTCACGGGTCACGAAGGCGGTGTAGCTCCAGCTCGCGCTAACGCGACAAACGTCGACGTCCGCCCGCAGCGGCTCAGGACTGCGCACCTGGCGTCCTCGTCTGGAGCCCAGCGCCTGCCCGAAGCCACAGAAACCGAAGCCGAACCAAGCCCCGGGTCGCTCTCCGGCCATGCTCCGCAGCGCCCTCTGCCCGCCGCCACCCGGCTGGGGTCGCAAGGTCCCAGGAATAGGGCTGGAACACAGGTGCTTCTTGCAGACGAGCAAGGGTGCGACACCCTGCGTCTCTGGCCTCCCAGGAGCTGGAGCTTCCTTATCTACAAAGTGAAAGAAATGTCATACTCCTGACTACAGGGGAAGAGGGCTGAGCACAAGTTCCACCGACTGCACAGTGTTCTCAACAAAACCGAGGAAGTAGAGAGGCAGCTCCGGCCTCACCCACATGCGCCTCCGCAGCCAACCGATGTTCTTAACCTGAATCCAAATCCATTTCTTCAGTTTTACAAAAGCGGTGAGACGGGTGCTGTTTGTATCTACCTCTCAGAATTGTAATGAATGCAAATAAAGGCTTCGGTATGTTGTTGGCTTATTAGGTTCAGTCTGGGGGTTCCAACAGCAATGCCACTTTCTCGGTAAGTTAGGCTTGATAGGAATTTTACAAGGATTTTCAAATCTCAGAAATCAGCTCATGGGTCCCCCACCCCCGGTGTCCGCTCCCAACCCAGGAGGGGTCTCTGACCTTGATCCTGGCCCAGTACCCTCCATCCCTCAGGAAAGTCCTTTCTCCAGGTAGCGCCGCGGAGGAGAGCAGCTTTGAAGAGCCGCGCGCCAAGCGAGGCCATTGGCTTGCAGCAGCCTTCCTGGGGCCAATCACTGTTTGGCCCCACTATCGCGGTAACGTCACTGTTAGGGAGGCTGCAGGTAAGTGCTCACCTCCCAGGGGGTCCAGCTGGGTCGGCCAGACCTATGCTGAGTTAATCTGTAAAGTGGGCCTGAAACCTTCGGTAAGTATGGACACTCACAGGGCGGAGGAGCTCGGATTAGAACCACCGAGGGAACACTCATTAAGAGTCTAGCTAAAGTCCTAGTAACAGGGCCTTCCTCGCCCTTAGCCAGGACTGACGGGATCTCTAGCTCCTTCACTACTTCCTTCAGGCTGACAGCGGTAGCTCACTACTGGACATGCGCAGAACTCCCGGGCTAACGGGAAGCGGATGTACTGGGCGCCTCCGCTTTTACTTTCCACTGATTGGCTTGGGCCCTGTCATTCAGGCTTCAGAGGCCTCTGAGCTTGGAACCCTGGTTTAGGCTCTGAGAGAAGGGAGGGTCCTGGAAGGTGAAAAGTCCCAGACCTGCACCATTCTTCCAACCAGGCTCAACTACAGAAGAGACTGGATTTTCACAGGAGTGAAGACATACACTGAAAAACTAATGTGACTCCATTTTTAAAAATAAATAACAGCAGCTTCTACCTCAAGGCCTGTCCTAAGGAAGGGGGCTGACCCTTGTCCTTGGAAAAACCCACAGAGCACTCCTAAGTACATACCCACTCTGCTGAGTTGTTTGTAAATAACAGGAGAGGTCTGCAGCGCCAAATATCCCTGACTAAGTTAGGCTAGGTGAGGACCCATGGCAACCCCCTCTAGCAACCTCCAATCAGCATAAGACAATGAAAATACCTGGAATGCACAATGACCCCCAAGAACTCTATGGTGGTTGATAACATGATGGGAAACCATGTAGTTTAGCACGTACACCCCTTGTGGCCTAAACCAATCAGTTCAAATGAACCTCCCTCTTGTACTAGCCAATCACCCCTACCCAACTTGTTCCTGCCAATGAATATGCTTTCAATGTTAAGAGTTGTTGTTTGATTCTCCTGCGGTATGGAATGATTTGCTGTGTGATGTTGTGACACATAAAGTATCCTCCCAAAACCTATAAAATCTCACAGAACAAAGGACCAGGACTCACTCCCTGGGACCGCTGAGTCGGGAACTGTTGTGAGTCCAGGCTTGAGCTTGCAATAAAGACTCTTGTGTGCTTGCATCAGATTCGGCTCCTGGAGGTCTACTGGGGTCCCACGAATCTGGCATAACACCACCAACCCCAAATCCCAAGCACTGCCTGACTGGAGGTCACCAAGACTCATAAAGACAAAAATACTGAAGGGCAAACATGGGAGTCCATATCCTAAAACCATTTATTTCCAGGAAACTGAATGGTTTCTATTGACTAGCTTCCTGGTCTTTTTTTTTTTTTTTTAAATTCAAGTTAACTTATCCTTTTTTTTTTTTTTTAAGATAGAGTGAGAGAGGGAGGGAGGGAGAGAGAGAGAGAATTTTTAATATTTATTTTTTAGTTTTCGGCGGACACAACATCTTTGTTTTGTATGTGGTGCTGAGGATCGAACCCGGGCCGCACGCATGCCAGGAGAGCACACTACCGCTTGAGCCACATCCCCAGCCCATAGCTTCCTGGTCTTACCCCTTCTCTCTCCAGCAGGATTAAAAGCAACTCAGTGGGCCCCGGAGAGGTAAATCGATCAGATTCCTTCCATAAAGGTGGTTCTCCTGCTGCTACAGAACTCTACTGTACACTCACCCATATCCAGCTCCTGCCCACAGAGTCCTCCCTGCTCAGAGACAGAGCACACATTTGAGTACCATACACTTTATTAGAGGGGCAGACCTAACAGACTGAAAGGATGCTCACAGCTAAGAGGTTACTGATATGCCCTTCCTGATGCCTAGAATCCACAGGCAGAGTTGTAATGCCTCTCCCCAGCTCTCTACAGCGGTGAAGAAATAGGGCCCCTGTTAGTAGGCTCAAGGCAGTGCTGGCAGGGCAGGGCTGTATGACTGATTATGATCCATAACTCAACAGATTGTCAAAGTGCAGCTGTGGAGGAGAGGCAAGAGTGTTTGGTATCCCAGGGCCCATCAACCAAAGCTGCTTCTGTCCTTATTCTCAGTGCAATAGGTAGTGTGTGTGAGAGCCTTGGGACAAGGGCAGCCCTCACTTTTTATCCTGGTTGGGTTGGATAAGCCCGTATTCCATTGATTTTCCTAGGCAGGCTGCAGCAGCCCGAGTAACAGGGCCTTCCTCGCCCTTAGCCAGGACTGACAGGATCTCTAGCACCTCACTCTCCATCAGGGTGCTGGCAATCTCCTTAGAGGCGTCCACCATGTTCAACACCACCACAACACCCCGGTGCTGCAGCTCCTGGTTGGGGCTCAGAAGCAGGGCCTGTAGGATCTCCAGCCAATGTGTGGTCTGCAAGAAACAGGGCAGCAATAGGCTCAATCCTGGTGGAGAACACACCTACACCCTGGGACATCCCCCACCAACACCATGAGGGTCACCTATCCTCCCCCACTAAGAACAGCACTGACCACTTGGGGGATGCGGCTGCACAGTGAGGGTCGCATTGACGTGAGCATGGCCAAGCCTCCAGCAGCTGCCCGCCGTAACAATTCATCATCTTCTCCACTGTATAGCACCAACAGCTTCAGCCGGTCATTGCCCTGGGCTTCAAAGAGGTCCTGCACCTGTGGTCATATGGAGGGACAGAACCATGTCATCCGGGTGCAAAGCCCATCCAGGGCACAGGGTCAACTCCATCTCTGCATGTCAGGACAACCTGGACTATCACTCACCTCCTTGCTCATGGCCAAGTTACACATGCACTCTGTGGCTGCCCGGCGGATCATCTCGTGTTCCTCAAACATGTAACCCTCAATCATGGGCACAGCTTTCTCCTTTAGAATCTTCTGTCTGAAGACAAAGGTAGACGAGTCAGCATCATCAGGGATTTCCCTTGGGAATGTCCATTGACAGGGCTGTACCAGATATGAACTGCAGTTGTTTCTAGCCTTCTGACTAGGCCTAGGAAACAGCATAAGACTGTGGAAAATGCTCACAAATAGGCAGTAGGCCAACAGAGCAGTGGCAATAGCAGTGCTATTTAAACCCTAACGATTGAGCACTTAACCTGTTCAGCTGTTTGGATTATTTTACTTACTCCTCACCACAACCCCATTATGAAAGCAGGTATGATTATCTTTACATTTTGTAGAAGGGGAAACTGGGACTGAGTGGTGAGTAATGTGCTCAAGATCACAATTAGTATTTTGTCAAATACATACTGAACACATTGCTAGGGGTCCAAAATGCCTATGTGCAGGGCTGGGGATGTGGCTCAAGCGGTAGCGCGCTCGCCTGGCATGCGTGCGGCCCGGGTTCGATCCTCAGCACCACATACAAACAAAGACGTTGTGTCCGCCGAAAACTAAAAAATAAATATTAAAAATTCTCTCTCTCTCTCCCTCCCTCCCTCTCTCACTCTATCTTTGAAAAAAAAAAAAATGCCTATGTGCTAATTACTTTTACATGTATTTTCTCATTTAATTCTTCTTACCACTACTTCATGAGCTAGATACTATAATCATCCCACTCACAGAAGGGGAAACTGAGACACAGCCGTGAGTAACTTGCTTGAAGTTACACACTGGCAATTACTGAGGTCAAGATTTGAAGCCAGGTAGTCTCTAGAACCTGCAATGTTCTCACCCAATGTCTTGGTGCCTCTCCTGGCCTGTCTCCTCATCTGTATGATACAGAGGAGTCACTATGAGGCTCCAATAAGCCAATGATTGACTGTAATCTACCAGGGATAATACAAATCCTGATGTCCCACCCAGCCCTTACCCCTTACCTGAGCCTCTCACTGATCCCCGCCAGGTTTGTCAGGGCCATGAGCGCCTCGAAGTTCTGCAATCCTGAGCAGTTGAGGTGCAATAGGGAGACGAGGGGCCGGACCACTTCATAGATCTGTGATATGCCCCACACTGGTCAGGGCTAATCACCACAGCCCCTGCTATTCCACTAACCCCACGGGGAGGAGTCCACCCTCCAAGAGAGTGCTGCTAAGGCTTTCCCCTACCCTAGGGCTTAGCAAAGCTACTGATACATGTTGGTCCCAAGGAGTAGCCCTAGCCAGAGGCCATCTGGGCCCAGTGAGGGTGGAGGAGAGGCTACGATTGAGTCAAGAAGGCACTCACCCGCTCACCAGGGAAGGTCATCTCTGGGTTGGAGGTAATGGTGAGTTTTGCAAGAGCCTGGGCTGCCTTTGTCTGTCCCACTTCAGTGCCTTCCAGAGCCAGCGGAAGCAGAGCCTGTAGGAACAAGCCCATCAGTGGCCCAGGACATGCCTGGGAATGCAAGCCAAACTGTGCCCCCACCCTTCTCCTTCTCTCTCCAGGCTTGACAACACTTCCTGCTCAGATGCTATTCACCAGAGGTCTCTCATTAAACTACTCAAACTCTTGCTCAAACACCTGTTAAGAGTTAGTTATGGGGCTGGGGATGTGACTCAAGTGGTAGTGCGCTCGCCTGGCATGCGTGCAGCCCCGGTTCAATCCTCAGCACCACATACAAACAAAGATGTTGTGTCTGCCAAATACTAAAAAATAAATATTAAAATTCTATCTCTCTCTCTCCCTCTCTCTTTAAAAAAAAAAAAATTAGTTATGGATTGTGGGGCCATGGGGCCATGGAAGTAAGTGAGAAAAGAGAAAGGGAGGTGAGCTCAGGATTTTAATGGGCATAAAACACTGAGGTACTCTGAAGAACCCGCCCACATCAGCATCACTAACTCTGTAAGAAGCTATTCCTGATGGTCACTAATAATGTCCTTCCATGCCACATTCAACCCTTATCTCTGGCACAACAGGTACTGAATCATGTTTTATAAGCTAAAGGCTTAGCATCAGGAAGAAATAGGTAAACCAGCTCACCTTGCCTCCCCCCTGAGCAACCACAGTGCCTCTGTCCTCCACCTCTTCTACCAAAGCCAGGAAGACTCTGCAGGGAGAAGACAGTAGTGGGTGGAGGGGTCTGAGGTTCTGACAAGCAGATACTCCATTCTTGGGCTCAACAAAGAAAGGCAGGCAAATGGCCTCCCTTGCTCCAAGAGGCCCACAGTCCCAGGACCTCTTCCACCCACAGTCACACTAGCAGCCTGACAAGGCCTAAGAGTTGGGAGAGCTCTCATGCCAACTCAAGGCAGCCTTACCTACAGAGCAGCTCTCTACAGGAATTAGTCAACACAGGGCTCTCAGTCTTCACCATACATGTCATGGCTGACACCACACCTGCTGCCAGCAGCTTCTTCACCCGAGCCCTCA